GCAGAAGTAGAAGTAGTAGTCGTAGTAGTAGTAGAGTAGTAGTAGTAGTAGTAGTAGTAGTAGTAGTAGTAGTAGTAGTAGTAGTATTATTAGTAGTAGTAGTAGTAGTAGTAGTAGTAGTCGTAGTAGTCGTAGTAGTAGTCGTCGTAGTAGTAGTAGTCGTAGTCGTAGTAGTAGTAGTAGTAGTAGTAGTAGTAGTAGTAGTAGTAGTAGTAGTAGTAGTAGTAGTAGTAGTACCAGTAGTTAGTAGTAGCAGCAGCAGTAGTAGTAGTCGCAACAGTACTAGCGATGGTCGTAGTGGTAGTAGTCGTCGAGTCAGTATACCTCCCTCTGCCTCCTCCCTCTCCTCTTGCTTCCTTCTTCTCCTCATGATACCCCCGTCTTCCCCAAGAGTTCCCCACAGGGCATCAGCAACGGGCGGGGGGAGCTCATAGCCCAATAGCTTGCCCAGACTCTGGCCCAATGTTCGGCCACATACGCGTTTCCAAAAGGGCTAGGGTCTGCTGTGATTCGCCGTAAGCGTCATCGATGCCCGCAAATGCTCGCCTAGAGCTCCCTGAGAGTCGAAGGCCTGAAAGGTCCTCAGAACTCGTCATCACAGCCTCTTCCTCATCATCATCCTCGTCCTCCTCCGTTCTCCCTCCTCCTCCTCGCGGGTGGGCTTCGTGTGAAGACGAAACGTCAGACTGCTCAGATTAGTATGCCTGCTTTGTTATGCCGTCCTTGCGATCACCAGCAATTCCATTCCCTCCTGGTCTTCCTTCCTCCTCCTTCCTCCCCCGCCACTCCCCCCCCATCCTCCTCATCATAATTCTCCTCCGTCATCCTCCTCTTCATCCTCCTCCTGCCGCACCCTCCAGCCAACCTGCTGAAAATGTCACGAATCTTCCTCGGGGGGGTGGACGAGGAGCTGAAGGACAAACTGGACGAGCACACGCGGAGCCTCTTCGGCGGGCTCGCCACAGACTGGGAGGCACTCAGAACTCGTCATCACGGTCCCCTTCTCCTCCTCCTTTTCCTCCTCCTCCTCCTCCTTCTCCTCCTCCTCCTCCCTCCTCCTCGTTCTCATCATTATCCTCACTATTCGTCGCCCTTCCAAGAGTCGAAGGCGCAATGCGCGACCACGCACCCTCCGGCCAATCTGGACAAAGTGGCACGAAGACTTCTCGGAGGGATGGGTGGACGAGGAGAAGGATGAATGATAAGAGCAAGCCTCTTCGCGGGGCTCTCAGTCGATTGGGAGGCCCTCAGAGCTCGTCATCACGGCCCCTTCCTCAGAAGCTCTGCACTCTTCAGAAGCTCTTCAGAAGCTCTGCAGAAGCTCTGCAGAAGCTGCAGAAGCTCTGCAGGAGCTCTGCAGAAGCTCTTCGGAATCTCTGCAGAAGCTCTGCAGAAGCTCTTCAGAAGCTCGTCGGAAGCTCTGCAGAAGCTCGGCAGAAGCTCTGCAGAAGCTCGTCGGAAGCTTTGCAGAAGCTCTGCAGAAGCTCTGCAGAAGCTCTGCAGAAGCTCTGCAGAAGCTCTGCAGAAGCTCTTCGGAAGCTCTGCAGAAGCTCTGCAGAAGCTCTGCAGAAGCTCTTCGGAATCTCTGCAGAAGCTCAGCAGGAGCTCTTCAGAAGCTCAGCAGAAGCTCTTCAGAAGCTCGTCGGAAGCTCTGCAGAAGCTCGGCAGAAGCTCTGAAGAAGATCTGCAGAAGCTCTTCGGAAGCTCTGCATAAACTCTGCAGAAGCTCTTCGGAAGCTCTGCAGCAGCTCTGCAGAAGCTTTGCAGAAGCTCTGCAGAAGCTCTCCGGAAGCTGTGTAGATGCTGTTGGATCGGTTGCAATCCAATGTTCTCCACAATTATTTGTATAGGAACCCTTCAGGTTGCGATCAGTCCGTTTCCAGTGGTTGTAATCTGACCGAAGTAGTTTCGGAACAGTCCGAAGTAGTTGTAATCGGTCTTACTCTCGGTCACCCCCCACCCAGACAACGGTAACGATCGCACGCGGGGGGGCAGGGATTTGGACCCCCCCCCACATGTTGGTGCTCGCGTGCGTACTGTGATGATCGCATCGCAGCCCCGCCCCGACGTGCCCCACCGCGCCCAAGCGTTACCGTTACCTGGCCCCCCCCCGGGGTAACGACCGTTACCAGAAATGATAACAGTCCCCAGAGGCCACATGGTGAAGGCGGTCAGGTACAGTCGGCAGGTGATCCCGATGCCTTTCGCTCAAACGTTTTGCTTGCTGCCTCCAGTGCCTCGCGGGTCCTCCTCTTCCCTTTGCATACACAAGCGGCCGCGAACTAAATACCCCGTCGTCCACCCCCACAAGAAGTCCAACCACACGGCAGCTTGCGAAACACAAGACACCTCCATCATCGGCTGATCGTCATCACTTGCGGGCTGGCACCGCTGTGCGCTCGAATCGTGTGCTTGCACAAATTGCTGCAAGTGCCACCCATGTTCGATCGCAGGGTAAGTTCTGCCTAACATGTCAGGCTCGCGAGTGCGAGGGGGCAGTTCAGACACCCCTGGGCTTGAAAGGAGTTCTCTGGCCGGCCATGGCCGCCACTGTTGCGCGAGGCGTGTGTCGACGGACCTCTTCCCTAACTGTTCTCAAGGGTGTGCTTACCCTTAAGTCGGGCATGTCCCTCTACAGGAGTAATCACAAATTGGTAAAACATAGTCTGGGGACGAGTTTTCTGATTTTTGTTTGGTATTTGTTGAATACTCTTGACTTTTCGTCCGAAATCCGCCTGTCGGAGGACACGCCCGACCTAAGCCTACCCACCAGACCACCCCAACCTAACCCGATGGCCCCAAGTTGCCCTCCATTCCCAGCGGGGTGGCATCCCAGAACGTTGACATAGCACAGGTGTAACCCGTACGCCCCCCGCCCCGAAACTTGGGACTTCGGGCTGGGTTGGGGTGGGCCTGTCGGCAGGCAGGATGTGCTCCTCCTCGCCTGCGCAGACTGCCGCTGATGCTTCGGCCAGCCGCCGGCGGCAACTGCTCTGCCAGTCGCGGTGAGCATCTCGCCGGAGCAGCTCTCAGAGTGCCCGCCGGCGGGCTGTGCTCGCAGCGTCTCGGCGCGGGCCTCCCACCAGAGCCCCGGGGCGGAGGTCTCGCCAGCGGAGCTGGAGGGGGGGCGAGGAGAAGCTCGGGGGGCGAGTCAGGATGAAGCGCCGTTCCTGGGGGAAAGCCGGACAGGCAGCGGCGGGCTCGTGCTTTCAGTGCCTGCTGATCCTCCGCTGGAGTCTCGAAGGCGACAGACAACGGGCGACTGTTGCCCTCATGGCTCGAGCAACCGATTTTTGGCAAGAGGACGCTCGAGCATCCCTTGCATCTTGCAAGGCGCCCCGTTCAAACCACGAGTTTCCCTGAAGATGGCTCCGTGAAGAATTGCGGCAGTGAACATGCGGAAACCGCGAACACCCGCGGAAGCCTGCACTGGCGAAAATTTGGGCATAGACTGTGATGATGTCCGCGAAAGCCAAGATTATGATGCTGGCTCCGCGAGAACGCGCATCGGGGAATGCACGGAAACCGCCGCAACCGTGGGGGAAGGCTGCCAGAATTCGCGGCGGAAGCAGTGATGTTGTTCAGGAAGTCTCGATCGATCGATGCGCTTCGAGTGTGCCGCGGGACAATTTTGCACTGCTGAAGCAGACCCGGGAGAGGGGCGCCAGCACCCTCCTTTGAAGGGCGTCTAGGGATCTGCCGGCCAGGCCAATGTGCGGCGCCTCAGACTGATGTTCGAAAGGCGGTTGGCTCGCCCACATCGTCCCGTGGTCGTTGTCGTCGACGAAGGTGCACTAGTCGTTGACACTTGCAATTGCCATCACCATCGTCATTATCACCGCAATCGCCGCCCGCAGCGTCACCGTCACCGCCACCATCGCCCTCATGTTCCTCGTTGCCGTTATCGTCGCCATCGTCCCTGGCCATGGGGCGTCTCAGAAGATCGCCGCTCCAAGTACAAAGGTTCTTCTCAACCGTATGCGCCGTGACCGCCATACCCGCAATCATCTTCATCATTAGAGACATTTTCGCACTCTCCATCGCCATCCCCGTTACCATCCCCATCGTACTCGCGGCGATGCCTATGTAGTGGCTTTCAGTCCTCCCGCCGCCTCTCGGAGGTCTCTTGGATGTATTTGTTGGAAAGAGCGTGTTCTACCGCTGCTGGCGGAAAACCGGGGGGGGTCACGGGTTCGAACCCTTCCCCCCCCCCCTCTGGAAAACCGGGGGGGGGTCACTACCGGTTCGAACCCCTCCCCTCCCCCCGTTCATCATGAGAAGGGGGGGGGGGTCACTACCGGTTCGAACCCCCCCCCCCCTCGAAAACCGAAAACCGGGGGGGGTCACTACCGGTTCGAACCCCCCCCCCCCTGGAAAACCGAGTGGGGGTGCGGACAGTGGTGGGGACGGTGTTGGTGGGGACAGTGGTGAGGGGACAGTGGTGGGGACAGTGGGACAGTGGGACAGTGGTGGGGACGGTAGTGGTGGGGACAGTGGTGGGGACAATGGTGCGAACAGGGGGGACAGTGGACAGTGGTGGGGACGGTGGTGGTAGGGACAGTGGTGTG